TCGCTCCGAGTTTTAAAGTGAGGCGAAAAATATTTATCACATTTTTAAAACACAAAACTTAAAACATCAAAACGGCTAAGCTTTTTACGCCAAACTTTTAATGCAGAAACTGACAATAGAGAAAAGAACGAGTTAAAAAAAATCTATGACAAACAACCAAGCAAGCAAGAAGCACAAAAAGTGTTCAAGGCAAGATGGGCAAATGGACTTGTCATTTACGCCTATCACAGTCAGGAGTTTGTGCCACGTGAAGTGACTAGTCAGCAGTCCAGCAAGTTGTCTGCAGTGTCGTCTGCTTAGTGAGAGAAAAAATTAGATAGACCTTGTGAGATTGAAGGCAACATGAGTTTACCCACTTGCATCCCCTCGATGCTTTTCAGTCATTGCTGAGCGAAGTATTCACCCAGTGTCTGATGGTGGCTTCGATTACCGAAGGTGGGAGAGCTAAAACTGGTTGCGGACCGAGGAATGCCTGGTCTGAGCCAACTCTGACCAAATGACCAGGTACTCCTGAGTGACGTGGCACCCAGAGTAAAAGAACCCCTTTATGATCAACATCATATTTGAGTCGAGACTTGAATTGCCGAACTAGTTTGGAAGTACTTAAATAGAGGGCTGGTCAATGCCTGAAGTGTAGATTGGTTGTCACTGCAGTCACGTAAACTCCATCCCCTCCACTTATGTTCCACCACGTAGTCCTTGGCTTTGAGTATTGCTATTACGTTAACTTGGAAGACCGAAGCATATTCCCCTACAGAAAAGTGAAGAATTGAGTCCGGTCTCAGCGATGGAATCAAACCAGAATTCAGTCTCAGAGAACTCAACAGTATAGAATCTCTTCAGCAAAGGTAATGGTGGCGTACTATCCTGTAGCATTGAAAATACACAAGTGCTTAAATCTCTGTCGCCAGCAATTTTCGCCGCGCCCCACTCATTTTCATACCAGCATCCGGTTCTTTTTAGTCTGCAGGTGGCTTTTAAGGCTTCCCCACGTATGAAATCACTAAGTGACGGTAAGTGCAGAGGTGCGTCAAGAGCACTATATACCACTCGAAAAATTTAAAGTTAACTAAAGAGGCTATCAAGTAACTATTTTGGTTCTTTACATCGAAACCAGATAAATTTTCGTGGATCCACATACAACTCATGGACCGCCATATTTTTTTCTCGTTACCGTTGACCCTTCGTCGAGTCTCCCGTGGACCACCTGAACCACTTTGGGAATCACTGGTCTAGACCAAACCCAACTCTTTCCAAACCGCTAGTTGTTTTTAATTATTGATCAAATAAATAAAAGTTCAAAATAAATAAGTTAAAAAATATTATGAAACAACATCACAGGCTAAGACATAAAGACAGTTGTTGTCAAAAATAAGTAAACAAGTACATCAACTTGGAGTTGTAGTGGAGTTTCAAAAAAAATTGTGTTTCTTCTTTTCAAAGGGGTTTTTGTTATTATCAATTTTGACGTCCTTACATTTCGAAATATCGAAGTTTCAAGCATTTCTGAAATTTACTGTTGCATAAAAAGTGGGCGTAATTTTAGTCCGATTTCAATAATTTTCAGCGTTTTGCTTTTATGTGGCAAGCAATATAATCATACCGAGTTTGGTAGACATTGATGGAACGACTGCCGAGATACACATATGTGGTAGGCGGTGCCACGCCCATTTTCCCAAATTTTATCATAAACGTATTTTTTGTTAAACAGTTACTGTAAACATCAATTTTGAATAAATTAGCTTCAGTATTTACTGATTTATCGAATCGTATTTATTTCGTATTTCTCTAAATTAACGTTATATGGGATGTGGGCGTGTTTATTGTCCGATTTTAAAACTTTTCAGCCCTTTGGTATGAGAAATTGGTGGAGCGGTTACCGAGATATACACATGTAACTATAAGTGGGCGTGGCTACGCCGATTTTCCAAAAATTCATATTATACTTATTTCTCGTCTAAAAATCATTGTAAGTAACAATTTTGAGGGAATAAGCTTCAGTAGTTACTAAAATATCGCAGCTTTCGTATTTCTGAAAACTACCGTTATATGGGAGGTAGGCGTGGTTATTGTTCGTTTTTGTACAATTTCAATTTCATCCGTCCTACGCTGAAAAGAAGTACACATAAATCACCGCTTAATCGATTTTTTTTTTTCATTCTGACCATTTATGTATACATTTCTCTATATCTATCTTGATTCATTTTGCCTGTTACAAACAACCGTTATGTGAACAAAGTTATAATACCCTTGTGCACAAGTGCGCTCGGGTATAAAAATAACGCTTAAAATCGCCAACCCACAGTAGGAGAAATGGGCAATTTCTCTCAAAAAAAAAACAAATTTTAGATGTAATATTTTTTCATAAAACTAATTCTTATAAAAAATATTTTGCTTATTATTTTTGATAGCTTTCTAAAATGTTTTTATTTAATTTAATCTTTTCAATCACCTTATATGAGAATATATGAAAAATTGTATGTATGTTTTTTAACAAAATAAATAAATTGTTTAATAAAGCTATTGTTTTATGCGTACAAGAAAATATGTAGAAACTATTCCGAGGCAGAGCTTTCGGAAATATGGCCATCAGTTAACTCATTTACGTCTGCAAGAAACTGTTTGTCCTCCTCATTATTAATTAATTTAATAAAAATACAAATCGATACGAGGTTCATAAATATTTCCCTCCAAATAATTTTCTGGATCCGCCCCTGATCCTTATTAAAAAATAAAAAAATTTGCACGAATTTTGACATATTGCTGGTCTGTCTGTTGATTTTTTTATGGAATTCAGCTATGTATATATTGATACACGGAACCAAACTTTTATAAAGTTAGTTAACAAATAAAGATAAAATTTACACACATACAGTGGTCGCAAAAATTTAGTCGCACCAAATTTTGACAAGTTTTCACAATTATTATTATTTTTTTTCGTTTTTGATTTGATTTATTTTTTTTTATAAATTTATAGTTAATTCTTTAACAAAACCTGTACAAATCCAAGTTTCAAACTTTGTGTAATAAAAAAATCTACAAACTTTCGTAAAAATTTCGAGCTTTTTAATTACATTTTCTTGAAAAATTTTGAGTATGCAGTTTTGTAGCCCACTCAATTCTAGTAAGTGCAAGTCTCAAGTGGCTAAAAATTTTCGTTTGAAATTTTTTTTTTTCCTAAAGTGTTGCCAATTGTTCCAGTTTTAGAAACACTGAAAATTCACTTCAGCTGAACGTTCAGTTACGCATATGTATGTCGTTGGGGTAACACTCATTTTTGTAGTTTTAACCAAAACATCGTAGCTTGGATAAATATTGTGGATCCGTTCTTTGGCACCATATTTACGATGACCATCCGTCCTGTATTATACGGGACAGTCCTCCTTTTAAACCCATAGTCCTGGTAATTTATTTAATTTATACGGGATGCCAAATTTTCTGTATTTCTTTTAATGTCCTGTATTAGTCTCGTATTCGGTGTTCTGACGCCGTAACAGCTTCTGCAATGTTTCACCAAAATTTTAAACTTTTTAATTAGAATCTTTAGAAAAAAATTTGGTTTGCGGTTTTGTAACTCATTAAAATTGAGTATAATAAAGTGCGAGTGGAAGGTGCTGCTCATTTGCTTCTCTTTCAAAAAAAAAACAAAAAAAAAAAGCCAAAAATTAGTGGCGTAAGCATTACCGACTTAAAATTGTATTTTATTATACTAAAATTCAACAAATATTTTTAACAAATTTTACGGGGTAAAAATCTCGAGAAAATTACCCTACAAATTTGTGATGTTACTATACGGATACTGTTTCATGGAAAACAGTATGGAAAAAATTTGCAAAATTATTTTTTGTCCCGTATTCGGCTCTCATAAATATGGTCACCGTAACCATATTGCATTGGTTTATATGAATATTTAGTGTAGCCTCCATCTAAAAAGAGAGCCAAAGCTTCCTCAGGTGTGTAAGGAATAGCGGTTTTTGCCTCAGCACCTACAGTTTTAAGTATTTTTGAAGTTATTGCAGATGTTGAGCTTAAAATTGAAATAACTTGTGAATCATTTTCTTCCATTAACTTTTCGTGCGCAGTCTTTTCAACGAAGCACTCTGCAAAATTTTTGTTTTTACGTCGATAAATTGTTGGTTCAGGGAAAATTAGATCACCATCTAACCATTCCTTATTGCGCTCTTCAAATATTGCTCTTATCCTGTGACTCGCCTTCCACTTATCCAGCTATTTACTAAACAAGTTTTTTAATTATTTTTGAATTTTTTGGCTTTGCTTCCCGCTATATTTAGAGTGATCAATAATATTAGAAAATACATACATAATTTTCTCCAGCAAAAAAAAACTTTTTAGTTGGCCCGGGTCGACTTACGAAAAGTTTCAAGACTTCCTGTAAGAACAACAATGGCGACTTAGTTACCAATGTCCTGAACGTACCTAATTTATGAAGGAAATAATTTTCCACCCTACATATTGGGTCTGGTGGTCAACGAAGCCAAAGTGTGTCGAAGTATCTGCTGTCATCAAACAAAAGGCTTGGACCAGCATTATTAAACTTTAAGTTGGTATTTTCCAAAGTTAAATAGTATAGACGAGTATATGGTTTCTAAAAGTGAACCGCCAAATTTACGAGTGTTGGTTCATATAAAGCTAGTTTGTTCCCTTATTTATGGCCGCTGCTGCATGTCTGGGTTTTATATTAAAATGTTCGACTTTGTGTTTCACAAAAATATTTACACGAGTAAATAAGTCTTCTTTAACTAACATTTAAAAAGCTTGTGTTCTTTACTTAAAAAGAAAACATTAGTTTTCTATATTCGGTGCTAAAGTGTGTAATTGGCTGACGCAAGTTAAGAACATTTATTATTAACTTTGTGGTAGTTTAATTTTTGATATAAAAGTGCCGTTAGCTTACGAATTCCTAACAGAAGCCTACAAACTCTAAAACAGCGGCCTTCATATTCTTTGAATTATTTTCATGAATATATAAATTAATCAAAATGAGAGCACACTTAGCAGTCGCCTTGTTTGGACTCATTGTCCTTTCTTGTCAAAGTGAGTATACCTCCCAAAAAATAGCATTCAAAAAGTAATTCCCTTTTAAATCAATTTGCAACTTTACAGGAATTACGCTGTGCCATCTGGTACCTGGGGACGTTATAGCTAAGTCCATTCAAGGTGAAATCAAGCAGGCTGTTGGCGACCTCGAACAAACCGGTCTTCTGGAAAAACTTCGCTCTATTGTTTCTCATATTGTTGGTGATAGCGATGAAGAAGAAGGCTCTGGTTCAGGCACTTCCGAAGCGGCTGAGAATGAAAGCAGCACTGACGGTTCCTTTTCGGGATCACAAGGAAATGGTACAATAGTTGTAGCTACTGTCGTTGCTACAAGTACAACCGTTTCTAGTTCCGAATCACCTGCGGATGAAAGTACTACTGAGGTTTCTTCTGAAACAACAGCTGAATCCAGTTCCGAAGCATCCGCTTCTAGTTCTACTGAGGATGATAGTACGATAGCTTCAAGTTCCGAATCACCAGCTGACTCCAGCTCCGAAGCATCCGCTTCTAGTTCAACTGAGGATGATAGTACGACAGCTTCTAGTTCCGAATCACCTGTGGATGAAAGTACTACTGAGGTTTCTTCAGAAACACCAACTGAATCCAGCTCCGAAGCATCCGCTTCTAGTTCTACTGAGGATG